TGTAAATGTTGCAGAATGAACTTGTTATTTACTGCATATAAACATATGATCATTTTTTGCCATCCTTTAAAAAAAGAAGAAATTCTACTGGCATTGCCAAGTTGCTGTATGAACTGTTAGCATATTGCTGTGCTTCTCTAAGTGTGGACAAAAATTTCAGGGACAATAGCAATGGAGTGGAATATTTCATTTATGTACAGTGGGGTCTCGACTTATGAACAACCCTACTTGCAAACAATTCAACTTACGAACCCGCCTTATAGGGAAATAAGGACTCGACATACGAACTTCCCTCGAGTTACATACAGGAAAAAAGTGCCCCCTCCCTCCCCTTAGAGGCTTCTGGAGGGGGAAAAAGGTCAGAAACTTAAAAATAAATTAAAAAGTCACTTACCAGGGGTAGCCCCCAAACAGCAGGAAAAAGAGCAGGAAACAGCTAAAAGCTCACACCAGAAGGGAGCCTGGCAGCCATTTTGTGCTTCCCCCCCTCCTGCACCCTCCTCTCCCCGCCTATCAGCTGATTGGCTGGCTCTGAAGAGGCTTGGGGAGGCCTGCTCAGCACATAAAAAGCCTGCCTGTGAGCCTTTGTGCTGAAAAAATCAGCACAACATGCTTTAAAACATGCTTTAAAATTGGCTTCGTAAAAAAAAAGTTTTCAAAATTGCTTTGCAAACTGTTCCCTGCCTAAAGAAAAAAAAAGAAAAATATCCCCCTCTAGTGGTAGAAGGCAGAATAGCAGCTTCCCATTAATTTCTATGGATGGAAAAGAGCAGATACGGGTTAAATGGTTTTCAGTGCATTCCTATGGGAAATGCAGATTCGACCTACAAACTTTTCGACCTAAGAACCACCTTCCAATATGGATTAAGTTCTTAAGTCGAGACCCCACTGTATGTGAAATAGTTTTTAAGTCTGAGCACCCATCTTTACCAATTTCCATGTGGTATAAATGAAGATTATACAGTATGTACCCACCAGGTCTCTCCTGAGGCCTTTCCCCTCACTCTTGGCTGTTTGGGGGCTGACTCTGGGTCCATTATGTCATTCAAAGCAAGGAAGCACCAGCATCATGACTCATGAGCCTTCTTGTTGTCCAGGCCTTTGTCGCAGTGCAAAACCTGGAAGAAATCTTCCTCGCCTCCAGAATCTGCTTATATCAAAAGGTTCTGTCCCATGGTCTCAGATTTGGGGCCTGAAATCTCAGGGAACAGAATGCTGTGGACTTACCAGCCTTAAAAATCTATAGGAGAACTAAACAGATAAGGCTGTGTCACAGACAGTATAAGTTGAAGCACTTATTGCAGAAAATGTTTGTCCTGCCCAAAAGCCAGAGATGGACAAGCAGTCTGGTAGCTTTCAAGAAGCGTGTTAGGTCATTTGGACAGTTCCATTCAAACGCTCATTGTCCCTTGAATGAATGCTTAAAATGGTCTAATTCTTCTTCTCTCATGTTCTTTCCATCGTGAAGATGAAGAAATGTGTCAATTTTTTTAAATTTCTTTTAAATTTTACCGCCACCACCCATTCCTACCAGGTGATAGAGAGCTGTCTTGGAGATAGAATAGGACATAGTCCTTGTTGTTTTTCCAGAATTAGAGATGCAGTTGAAAAGCAGTATCTTTTTTTTTAATCCAGCAGCCTGAGAGAACGATAAGGCCCTATGGGCCTCTCGCTTCTTTAAAGGAAGCCCTTCTGCCACCTGTTGCCCATCCCTGTAATCCATGATTGAGCATATACTAGATGGCAGAGTACTGCTTGAGGGCACCTTGTGTTTACCTCAGTTCTGCTTAGAAGAGCTAGGCTAATTGTATGAGTCAAGACTCCTGGATCAATGTTTTTGTGAACTTGTATTTACAGTTCCATGGGGAAAGTAACAAAGCAAGAGTTTATTTTTTAAGACAAAATAGGGCTTTAATATCTCTGAATCAATTTGGTACTCCCAGTTAGAACAGACCCATTGAATCAATGAGATTTATGTAAATGTTGGCTCACCATTCAGCAGTTCAGTCAATGGGTCTACTCCAATTGGGACTGTCCGTTGGATTTAGGCTCTGCTGTGGAACTTGTTGGCTGGAGAGCTCTCTGGATTAGGTCTGGCTGGTTTAGGTCTGAGCCCTAAACGGTTTAAGGCCTCGATATTTGGCGGAACGCCTTCTCCCACCAAGATCTACCCGTGTCACTCGTGCGAACCAGGAGGTAAGGCTGAGGAGCCTAACGCCGAGGGAGGCCTGGAAGGAAAAGACAAGAAATCGGGCCCTCTCGGCGGTGGCTCCTCACCTCTGGAACAATCTACCTCCTGAGATTCACGGGGCTCCCTCGCTGGGTATCTTTAAGAAGCAATTAAAGACATGGATGTTTTGGCAGACCTTTCCATCACATACCTCCTGACCCGCCCTTTCCTTTCTTATTGTTTTTGTTTTTGCGTATCGTGTATGTAATGTACTGCTTTTATCATTTAGAAGTGTTTAGTTATACTTTTATGGTATCGTTTTATGGTTGTTAGCCGCCTAGAGTGGTCCTCACCGACCAGATAGGCGGGGGATAAATTAAATAAATAAATAAATAAATGAACCAGAGGTTGGGAATTTGATTCCCCACTGGGCTTCTTGCAAGAAGAGCCAGCCTATGTGGCTTTGCAAAAATGGCACAGTCCCAGGTCACTCCCAGAAGAAGGAAGTAGTAAATGACTTCTGTGCAGTCTTTACCTAGAAACCCCCAAAAATGGTCATCATAAGTCAGAACTGGTTTGACAGCACATTATTATGGTGGGGGTTATGATGGTGATGTAACTTGTACCAATATGCTGCTTCGACAATTCTATGGGTCTAAGCAGCCAGAACACTTCTTGTTCTGGAGGGGCATAGCATTACTTTGGATAAAACATAGAGACTCAACCGGTACTACTGTACGGTATTGGGACAATTCTGCATTCCCTAGTAGTGGCGTGCTTGGCAAACAAACTTGCCTGCTGTTTTTCTTGCAGTGTCGTCTTCAGAGTGGACATAAAACAAGTAATCTTATTCCTGAAGAAAAACACTGTTGTCTGCTAGTATGACTGGAACGAAAGCTGAATAGTGAATTGGCCTTAAGCAAACCATCAATCTGACTTTGATAACCCATCACTTTAAAAGGACCTTTTATGTTTATGAAAAACGCATGACGTCAAAGCCATGGGAAAAAAAAACACAAAAAAATTTAGGCTAAACTTACATAGCATCCCCTCCTTTAAAAAAAAAAAGCCTTCTCTGTGAGCAGTTTGTTTCTCTGCCCTCTACTTGCATAACTAATTAGTTTAGGTTATTATAAGCCTGAGCTGTTATATCCAAGTTGCTTGTGCCATTTTGAGGATAACATGTTCATGGCGAATAAATGAGGATAGCCGAAGAATAAAAGGAATTCTGCCAAACTTGTCGCCTAGTTTTGCTAGGTATATATAAATGACATGCTGGAAATGCTTGAGTATAATCATTACCAGGTAAGTTATCACATATTCTTTTTTTAAAAAAATATGTGTTAGGCAATGATACTGCCCTCCTTAGATGACAATACTGCTACCTACTTTTCGGTGGATCTAAAGGTAGAACTTACATGCATTATTGGATTACTGCAGTATTACATATAACAGTAAAGGGCATATACTAGATTTTATTTTTCCCTATCAGCGTCTATAAATACAGCTGGAGGAATTGTTTAAGTATAATGTGGTTGTGAATGCAATGAGTTTTATGTTATTATCCAGTTGAATGCCAACATAAGCTGTTGGATCAGAGGAAGCCCACTCAAAATGATGAAATATGTTGCAGTTAAATATGAGTATATGCTTAAACATCGCCAGTACGATTATATGAGTTGTGAAATTGCTCTTTTCATTTTTATATTACAATGATCAACAGATATAAGGGTGAAAAATTTGAATATTTCTTTCCTCCTCAACATCTCTTCTTGTCTTAAATACGAACTATATGAATATTCATGAATATTTTGCTAAGTGCATGAATAACCAAGAGAATTTTAGGGGTAAAATATATAATACAGAGTTTCATCATTTATCAGTAATAACAATAAGATCTCTAGTAGCTCACACCATCAGAGCTACAAAAACATTGGCAATATTTGCAACAGCATACGTACTGAGCCAATATTTAAGAGATACTTCAGTTTTTGGTTAAAACCTGTATCTGTTATTCACCTGTCAGTGTTTATATAATTTTGATTGACTGTGCTGGGTGTTTTTAAAATAAGAATAAGAATAAGCTCTCAAGTCAATTCCGCTTTACGGCAACGCTTTTCAGGATTTTTTTGCCCTTCTACTCCTGGAGTCACCCTGGGGTTATGCTGCTTGCCCAAACCCACACAGGTTGGCTTTTCTCCTGGAAGGCCAGGTGGAGAACCAAATTCCCTTTGACTCTGCAGCTACACACCTGACTCGCTGAGCTATTCAGCCAGCTTTACTGTTACTTTATTTTAATATACTACTGACAATTGTTGTGGGTTTTTCGGGCTCATTGGCCGTGTTCTGAAGGTTGTTCTTCCTAATATTTCACCAGTCTCTGCAGCCGGCATCTTCAGAGGACAGCACTATGCTGTCCTCTGAAGATGCCAGACACAGAGACTAGTGAAACGTTAGGAAGAACAACCTGCAGAACAAGACAAATGAGCCCGAAAAACCCACAACAGCCATTAGATCCCGGCCGTGAAAGCCTTCGAGAATATACTGCTGACAATTTGGAATTATTAGTGTGGAGGATTTAGGCAATCGTTTGTGACCAAACCCGTGTCTGTATTTTATATTAGAAGTGGTGTATTCACAGGTTTGTTTACGTGGACCAGTTTTTCACATCTGAACCTCCAAATAAACTCTATTTACATGATGTTTTAATTTTGCTTTTGCAAATGAGTAGAAGATGAGTTAATCAGTATCCACAAAACTCAGTGTCTATAGAAGCATTTAATACAAAATCATTAATAAGATGTTCCTGCTCTTCCTTATGTCTTTTCAGGTGCAAACCCACCTGGAAAACCCTACCAAGTACCACATCCAACAAGCTCAACGGCAACAAGTCAAGCAGTACCTCTCCACTACGTTAGGAAACAAGCACACCAGCCAGGCACTAAGCTTGCCATGCCCAAACCAGCCAGGTGATCATGTTATGCCACCTGGCACAGGAAGTAGTGCACCCAACAGCCCAATGGCCATGCTTACTCTCAACTCCAACTGTGAAAAAGAGGTATGGGCAAACTTTTTGTGATGTGTTCTTTTAGAGATGACTGTTTTCCCTGCCCCATAGTGTCAATTCCTCCAGCTTACAAACACTAATCAGCCCATATATTTTTTTTCTCCAACAGTTGTTTATACCACTATCATTAAAGGAAAATAAGGAAGCATTTCAAAAACGAAGAGCAGAACAAGCGCATTTTAATTTATCTGGTCTAAAAGTTTGCACTTTTTAAAACAAAAAGTCTAAACCATGCCCAATCCTTCATTTAGTGTTATTTAGAATCTTTGTGTGTGCATGTATGTGCTCTTGTTAATGTATGCACAGTGATTGAAGATGTAATCAACCTTTTCAGATATAATTGCCATTTTTCTTTCTTTTTGAAACTTTCTGAGATAATATTATTGTGACTCAGCATGAATTGAGATGGCACGTGTGCCTTACCAGGACATTTGTACAGAGCACAATATGGCTCCATGTAGTCACACTCTATTCTCCTGCTGCTGTTTTCCAGAGGTGCGGTAGCGTCCTTATGTGGTCGAACACCCAGTAACTAGCAGTCAGCAGCCACAGAAGTTCCATATCACAATGGGCAACTTTTTTTTTAATATTTTATTTTATTTATCTAAGAATAGGGTAGGGAATACAAAAGGTAAAAGGGAGTGGAATGAAAAGGAAAGGGTGAGGGGGATAGGAGAACACAAAAATATCCAATCAAATCATATTACAATAACAAATCCACTTTCAGCTTTCTTTCTTTCTTTCTTTCTTTCTTTCTTTCTTTCTTTCTTTCTTTCTTTCTTTCTTTCTTTCTTTCTTTCTTTCTTTCTTTCTTTCTTTCTTTCTTTCTTTTTTTTTGGTAATTTGGTTGCCCTCCAGCTATCCACTTACAGCTTTATTTTAGTTTAAATCTATGTTACTCCAACACTGTCTGAGAACCATAGCCATTTGTATAATAATTCTCGTCCTTTAATTGGGCATTTATTCATCACATCTGAAAAAATATCCATTTCTGTCTCATCCCATACTTTCTCAATAGGCTCCTCTTATTTCAGTGACTCTGCTTTTTTCCAATTTTTGAAAGAGGAGAATGAATCCAGAACAACAATCCAATTTTCAGTATCACATTTTCTGACTGTAGTAATTGAATAAATCACTGGATAGCTCTTTACCCCATCTATGTTGCTTGATATCTTACTCAATAAGGGCTATTCTGGAGTTGATACAGTTTCACTTAACTGTTGTTTAGCATCTGATGACCTCTCTTTCATCTGATTTTCTATCTGATTAAAATGTTCATTTATTTGCTGAAATCCTCCTGTTATTATCTTCAGCATATTAATCTGCCATTCCTTGTCTATTTTTTGTGCCATTATTCCCAAATTTTGAGCCATTTCGATCCTTCCAATGAGTAGGGTTTATGTAAATAATACTATATCCTTCACAAACCAAACCCACAGTCAAAACTTCTTTATCCATTAATAACTTTTATCCACAAATCTGTTTAACTTCTTTCCAAAGTGATCAAAGCCAGTGACAAATACTGTGTCCTATAGTAGCAAATTCTATATGTTAATAATATGATGCAAAGTATTCTTATTTATTAATTTATTAATAATTCTTAAACCACCTTTCAGTCTTCTAGATAGCAGGGCAAAGTACAAATGTAGTAGAAATAGAACAGAAAACATTTTATATGGTTTTTATACCCTTAACTTTCACAGAACACTGCCCGTCCTCAGAATCTACTGGGATAAAGGGTGATATATAACTAAATCAATTGTTTAATAAGGTGAAGTTCATTTTCTGTCTTGTTTGTCCTGTCTAGTGATCATTTCATTCTGAGTGGCCTTTAATATATTATGAAAACGGTTTTCTGACCATTTTGTCTAGGTGATTCATAATTTTACAAATCTTTTCCACACACACCCTTTTTATTGAATAAACTCTTCTTCTAAATATAAGCATTATTTGTGTCACTGTGGAATTTACCATTTTCTGGTCTCAAAATTTAGGTCTGAAGTATCTTATTGTAGATAATGCATTCTCCTGACATGTAAAAATTCAGAGTTCGGGAGAATTAGAGAAAGGAGGATTGGTATCAAAATGTCTTTTTATTTGGGGCCATGGTGAAGCTGCATGTGGAATATGGTCTGGTCACCCTATTTCAGACAGGCCGTAGCAGAGTACGAATGTGAAGAATACTCCCAACGTTTCTAGTCCTCCCTGATTTCAACTATCTTTTTTATTTACAATATTTTTTTTAGCTGCACCATTACCAGTGGCTTCTTGACACAGCCTTGTCAGAAGCCTAACCTCACACCTAGAATAAGACAAAGAACTGTGCTAAGGTGTTCAGTCATCCTGTTTTGCTTTGGTTTATGGCTTCATTTTGCATACATGCATGCACACAGGCTCATTCACACACACACACACACACACACACATACTTGTACTTGCACATGTGAGGAATGTTTCAAAAGTGCAATAAAATCTGAGGCAGTCTTCACACAGGAAGCGAAACATTGTGTGGTTCAGCCGAGAACTTAGAACCCTAGAATAGAGTGAGAGAAAAAACTAACCAAAGTGATGAACGGGCTGGAGAAACTTTTCTTTATATAAAAAAGCTAAAGCATTGGTGTATTTTTAATTTGGATGGAGAAAATGACTACGTGGAGGGGAGGACATGACTGAGATAAATAAAATAGTATCAAAGATTCTTGATACTTTTTAATTTATTCTGCACAAGATTTCATGTACTGCAGTTCATTTCATCAGATGTGTCTGAGGGAACTGGCTTGTGTTGCATGAATAAAGTGTGCCATGTAACACTGGCTGCCCTTCAGTGTATCAAGGGACTCTTTGTTGTAGCATTCCACTAGTGGTAGCACAAACGAACGCCTAATATAAGTAGGTTTTCATGGTTTATGTGAAATAATTGATTGTACCAGTGAATTTAACAACCAGATCTGACACTAGCTTAGGGATGAAAATTGTGACTCAATGAACTCTAGAATCGTCCTGTTAGCCCAGCCCCCCCACTGGTAACTACTTTGGGAAATTTTCAGCTGCCAGATAATGTCAGTAGGCTTTGAAAGGGGATTGGGTACACCTATGGCTGAGAAATCTGCTGGTCACAAATAATTGTTACCTGTGAACCTGACTTAATAGGTATGTGACCTGACCTGTGACTGACTGACTGACTGACTGACTGACTGACTGACTGGCTGACTGCCTGGCTTGCTTACTTACTTACTTACTTACTTACTTACTTACTTACTTACTTACTTATTTTTACCCTGCCTTTCTCCTTAAAAGGACCCAAGGCAACTTACATAATTAAAACAACATTATTTAAATACCAAAAACAATAAGTATACAAATATTTTAAAAGACTTAAACAAGTATTATATTAAAAACTGTCAATAAAATCACTACTAAAAAGACATTTAAAAACAATAGAATACAATAAAATGTGAACCAATTGGTTGGCCACTGTTGGAGAAAAATATGCTGATCTAAAAGGACATCGGCAAGTTTCTTTTTATGTTAACAAAGTCATGGCTTTGAAAGCAGTGGAGTTTATGTATAGACATATGTGACAGGTAATTGTGAACTGCCATATACACACCGTTTATATAGCTGCTGGCTGTAATTTTTGAACTATTCAAACCAGTCTATTGCTGCTAAATTTCTGTACTGCTCTGTTGTTCAAATATTGCCCTCCTGCCTTGCCCTGTGCTGACATTACTTTGTGAAACTGAAAATTACTTACTCCATTTACATGACTAAAACAATATCCATCTGTGAAATTCCTGTGTAAGAGTCTCCCAGAGTAGACTTTGGTCTAGATGGAGGGGGGGGGTATAAATTTAACAAATAAATAAATAATCAATAGATGTAGGAGAAGGTCAGCAGCAATAGACCCGACAAGATAGGAGGGATATAAATAAAATAAATAAATAAGTAAATAAGTAAATAAGTAAATAAGTAAATAAGTAAATAATAATAATAATAATAATAATAATAATAATAAGAAGAAGAAGAAGAAGAAGAAGAAGAAGAAGAAGAAGAAGAAGAAGAAGAAGAAGAAGAAGAAGAAGAAGAAGAAGAAGAAGAATAGAGCTTCAAAGAAAGCACCTAGTGGACCATTGAGACAGTCTTCAATGGACGTAATGTCAGCTGGACCCCATAAGTTTATGCAAGTTTCTCAGTTCATAAGCAGCTGGGACTGTAATGCATTTGACATATAGAGGAAAGAAATGCTTGTCATGTGCTTCTTGTGGGCAAAGTCACTGGTGCCTTTAGAAACAAATCTACCCCTTGAGGTATGGATATGCGCTGCTTTGGCCTGAAACTGTACGTGAACTTATTTCTCCTCTGACCCTATTCTTATCAAAGTCCTTTCTTCCAAAGGAGTATAATATAATGTAATGTAATGTAATGGCAGAAAGGTGGCCTATAAATAAGACAAATAAATTTAATATATAGTATATAATTAATATGATGATTTACCATTTGGTTTTATATATTATATTTATCTTTTACTTTTCTTCAAATGAACTTCAGAAAATAGTTCTCCATTTCTCTCCTCACAACCAAATCTGTGGTTAGGCTAAATAGGCTGAAAAGGCTGAAAGAAAAGTACTGGATCAAGGTCATTCAAAGGACAGTATCCTGTTGCATTACCCACTCATTAGAATCCTATCACATCCTGCAGAGTGTAATTTCTCTGTTAGTGGAGTATTCCAGAACCACTAATGATACCTGTCTCATAGTTGCACAAGCTCGAAATCATCTCATTGGAAGCAACTGGGCTTATGTGTAACGAGGGGAGGAGTGAATAGCTTTTTTCACAAATGGTGCCAAGTCATGCGACTGGGGCGTGACAGTGAATGCAAGCATTGACATCTTAACTAGCACCATGCACTGGAATACATTAGTAAAAGGACTCTGACCACTGCATTAATGATAGCTTAATATATTCTCAAAGGCTTTCACAGCCAGGATCCAATGGTGGTTGTGGGTTTTCCAGGCTGATTGGCCATGTTCTTGAGGTTTTTCTTCCTAACATTTCACCAATCTCTCTGGCTGACATCTTCAGAGGACAGGAGTCAGAACTGTGTTCTGTTATTCAACTATCCAACAAACTGAAACAGAGCACAGACAGAGTTCTGACTCCTGTCCTCTGAAGATG